TCCAAACACTGATGTCCAGCTGGCCTGTAACTGGTCCCCAGAGCCCCTCACACCTCAGCACATCCATTTATTAGATTTCACTGTTAAAGCTAAATTAGACTCAGACAGCTACAAAGAGACAAACAGCTCAGGTTTACTGAATGTTCTTAACATTTTAAGATGTGTTTTTGGTATAAAAGCAGTGACATAAAATGTAAGGATTAAATAAATAGTTTTCCCTGTGTGAAAGAAGGTTTTTCGGTGAGTTGCACAGCACTGACATGATACTTGTTTCCTATATTTCTCCTGAACAAGATCTAATGGTAACTTCCAGTTTAATGTAATATCTAACTTGACTGTTTTTTATAATTTATTATTGTTTTTTTTCTTCTTATTGCAACTTGTCTCTCTACAGGATCAATAAACTTTGGTCTAATTCTTGTTTTTCTCCTGTGGTTTTCTTGGTTTCACAATGCTGTCGTAGGGGAAAACCTGACCTTCTGGTTTGGATGTGGTGACACACACTTCTCATCAGATAATAGATAACTAAGAAGAAACAAAACCACAACCACAAACTCTGAACAGCATCATGTAGCTTCAGTACGATACGAGGTGCAAGTTTTTGATTCTTTAGTCGGTGATCTATCAAGATTTAGTCTGTAAAGTTTCTTCTCTCTGAGTTGAGAAGCTGTTTAAACATCATACATCATATAATCAGCAGGTCCTAGTTTTCATGAGACTTAGAAACAGAGAAATTATATGTCAGTCAGGTTCCCATTTAAACACTGACACAGGCTTTCCTGCTTCTGCAACAACAACAATGTTGTAATCGTCCTGTTTATACCGGACATTAAGAGATCTCTTCCCAATGTGCTGAAATCTATATTAAACTTGATGTGAAGTTAACATGAGACTTCAGCGCTGTGATTTATTTTATTTTATTTTAGTTTAATCTTACACCTCTCAGACTGTGAGGACTGTTATTATTTCACTTTCACATCCCCTGTCTAGCTTGTGTTCATACTGGTCTGCCACCTAGTGGTGTTCTGTCTAAACTGCATCTCTACTGTCCTCATGGTGTCTTTATATCGACACAGACCCACAGGTAACAGTCATTCTCTGACCTCACAATCAATAAATCAACCAATCACCAACTACTTGCATACTGATAAGAAATGTATAACTATAATAGTTTGATGATTTTACATTTTATTTCTTAAAAAGATTTTTCTTTATTCCAATCAATCAGATTTCTGTGATGAACTAATGACAGCTTGATAAATCAACTCTCTATGATATATATAAAATAATGTCTCTTATCGTATCGGGTCAAAAGAAACCAGCAGACTTTACGTCCTAAAACTTCCAGAGATGCAGAAGTGAAGGTGGATGTTCAGAAGGTTTTGTTACAGAGTCGGACTCTGAGCGCCACCTGGTGCTCATGGAGCTGACAGACCAATAAAGATACAGAACAGAGAGCTGCTGTTCCTCCATCTTCTGCTCTTTCCTTCATTGTTTTACTCTCTGGGTGCTGCTGGCCTCAGGTTTCGCTGCTGCAATTCATAATTATTGAACTTGTTTTAGCTTTGTTATTATTGAGTTAATTAATCAACAGAAAAAAGACAAAAGATCAAGTTAGCAATTGACCCTTCGCTAAGCCACGCCACGAATACACAGCTGGCCAATCACAGCGCAGTACAGGACTCACTTTAACTGAGGTCCGACACTTTCATGGTCGCGCTCCATTAAATCTAAAGCAAAAACAGTCGTTTTCTAGCCTTTTTTTTTGCTGTATTTTTCTAAGACATGGTCAAACGCTGTTCCTGGCGCACTTGTAATAGTTATAGTCGCTACCCAGAGAGGTTGAAAGGAGAAATACGATTTATTCTCTTTCCAAAACCTAAAACAAATCCAGGAAAATGTCTGTTGTTCCTAATGTAATGTAAGTTAGCTAACGCTAGTTAACTTCCTACTGAATGTAACGTGATAAATCCCCACTGCTTTACAGGAACAGTGTTGATCCTTAATGTCGTTGTCTTTTGTCTCAATCGTAGGGGGATGCGGTGATTCATTTGTACAGTGTGATCAGTACGCTTTAGCTTCTATCTTTCTTTTTTTTTTTCATGTCAGTTTTACTGAAGCCTGAATACAACCTTTAAATCTATAATGCAACTGCAAAACTGTCTGCTTCTGTCTGAGATCGCTCCTTTCCAATAAATTTGACAGTATTTCTCTGGGGAGTGCAGTAATAGACAGTGGCAGCTCCGACAGTTTGTCGGACTTAGCAACAGTAACTGGGGGGGCGGGGCTTAGCAAAGGGTCAATAATAACATTTTGACATGAAAAAGTCACAATCACGAGATATTCAGATAAAAACAACGCAGTATGTCACATTTATGACTCAATAAGTGAAAAGTTTAACTTGTGTCATAATTTTAAAATACACATTTTTTATTGATCAAGCGTATCAAGTTTCAGTTACTGAGAGAAATGAAGCTGCTGCTGTTTGTCACTTTTCTAACGTGTTATTCAGAGACACCTGTTCACCTGTTGTGTGACATCATCAGATCACCTGATTGGACCAAACCGTGTAGTTTACCTTGTTTTTCTCTTCTAGTTCAGGGTTACAAACACGAGCAACAAGAACTAAACATATATCCACTGCTACAGTCGACAGTAGTGACACTTGTAGGCTTAACCGTGCTAATATTTGTACTTAGTTACTAACTGCTGCTGACTTCATGACAATCTAACCACTAGTTGTTGACATATTTCAGTCTTCTCTCTCTCTCTCTGTTTTGAATGTCAGCAGGCAACAAACTTTAACGAGGGTTTAGTAAATTTAATGCTGTCTAGAGGAAACCTGACCATAGGACTCTGCTTCTGTAAGTTCAGCGTTCATTGTTCTGCAGGGCAAAAACAGCAAACAGGCAACAGTCAGTATAATGTACAATTACAATGTACTGATCTGTATAATACTACTCTCTAGTCTTTCCAACCACTAAAAGTTAGTGAGTTTTATACTGCTGAGCTTCTTTACAGTAGCTCACAAAAGTGAGTGCACCCCTCACATTTCTGTAAATATTAATATATATATATAATATTTTCAAGTGACAACAATGAAGAAATTACACTTTGCTACAGTTTAAAGTAGAACGGTGTACATTTGCTGTCCCCTCAAAAAAAAAAGAAGTCTGCGTGGGTTTCCTCCGGGTGCTCCAGTTTTCCCCACCATCAAAAACAGTGCCAGTGACCAGTGACACAGGCTCAGATCTGGAGTTGGTCCCCGGGCGCTGCACAGTTGCTGCCCACTGCTCCCTCGAGTGATGGTTTAAATGCAGAGAATGAATTTCGCTACTTGTATGTGTATGTGACAATAAAGCACACCTTACCTTACCTTTATTATCATCGTTACAACATGGACACTTTCCACAGACTACAATCAAGACTGTTTTAACTGAGTCAAGACAGGACTGTCTGCCCTGCCTTGCATACATACATACATATATCACAAAACCTATTTCCTGCTAACTGCATGAGAGAAAACCACAACAATGCAAGCGCTACAGAAAGAAGGAGGAGGTGTGTTTTACTTGGTGTGACTGGTTAAATGTTAATGTGTTGATTTCAGATGACCAAGATTAACAATGAAGGCACCATCTGTACTGTGGCTGCTGTGTAAGTAAGAATCTACTTAATGTGTGAATTTTTGTCTCCACGTTGTGTCAAAGATTAGTTATAAAACATTTCTGAAAACAGCAGCGAGTGAATAACGTGAACACAAACTGTAGAGACAATTTCAGTGATAACTATTTGGTAATATGGCAGACACAGTAACATATACAATACTGCAAGTTTCAATTGTTAACACTGTGTAGTTATTTGAATTCTTTTGATACATCATAAAGTAGAAGGAGGAGGACAAAAATATGTAGAAAAGTTTTAAACAAAAAGGTATTTACTGTACTGAAGTGCTGCAAAAGAGAATATTATTGGAAATTAAACAAGATTCCATTTATCATTCAAATTAATTTGTCATTTAGTCCATCAGTTAAACATTAAGTTTAAGTTTAAGTAAGATGTGTCTGAAGGCAGCACCTTTTTGACTAAAGCTTGTAGTGTAATGTATGTGCATTTACCTTGACTGACAAAAATAGTAAAATACCGAACAAACAGCAAGCTTTAAAACACGTTGCGATCAAAGTAGATGCTTTTTACTGTTACGTCGTTTCTGCACTTGAACAGCTCCTCTGCTTTTACGTACTACTGCTCTGTTTGGGGAAATTGATCTAAGAAAACACTGAATGTGTCCTTGAGGAAATATAATTTGTCATTTCCTTATCTAATATCAATAGGGATGGGTATCCGCTACTTAAGGATCGCCTGAAATAGCCCAGTATTCAGTAGTACTGAAGCATCTCCAGTACTGCATTCGATTTTTGCAACCACACCGGGGTTAAAATCACTATTTGTATGGTTTTGCTTGCAGCCAAACAAGCAAGCAACAACACTGAAAGAAAGAGAAGAATATGCCTCTTTTTATTCTTATGTGTCTGCACGAGCCGAGTCCATGCATGATCTTTAACAGCTCTTCCGCATCGGTTGTGGCCCCAGACATGTTTGTCACTGTTGCAAGTTAATCACCACCAGCTGATATCATTTAACACTACTCTGTACATTTTTATTTGCAATCCACTCATCACCGATCGATCATTGTGTTTCCTCATATCAATTCAACGCTTTTGTGGCAAAGCAGCAATAAGCTGATTTTACTTCGGCTGCTTACTCTATATAAGATGTCGGTGTGTGTTTGGCTGGACGTGCACCCTCTCTGTTCCTCTGTTTGCTTCTGTAAAGTCTTTAGTGTAGTTCAGTAACTTCTTTAAAGGAGGAGGATCTACTGGTATTGGTATCACTTAAAGGGTACTGGTTCTGGTACTGGTATTGTAAAATTACCCAACCCTTAATTTCAACATGTGGCTGTTTTCTGTTCACTACAAGCAGGTTGTGTTGTAGAAAGTCCAGATGTCTTGTTGCATGTAACACCTCAAACCAACCTGAGTGTGATTTCTCTTTAGTTCTGACCTCACTGCTGAGCTGCACAACAAACCAAGGTGAGAAAACTGTTTTCTGTCTTCTGTCACAGCTGAAAAGTTATTCACTCCCTGATAGAACAGTTAGTGTTTAGGACAGTGTTTGAGGAGGGAAACAGCCACTTAACAAATGCAACATTCACCCCTGGAAGCTGCCCAGTACAACCACAGTCTGATCTGATCCACTGGAGCAGCCAGATATCACCATAAGGTGTGTGAATAATGCCAATTTCAAGTCATTTTGCGTGGCAACACAGAAAAAGCTTAAAATACTTTTACGTGGCATACAAAATGTCCTTGAATGTGGCATTCTTACACATCATCCCATGATATCATGTTGACTGGAGCGGTTGAGGTTAAGGGCTTTGCTCAAGGGCACCTCAGTAGTGGTAAATGAAGGAGGGTAAGCACTGCTTGTCCACTGTTCCAAACCCAGATTTATCCTGCCGGTCCACGGACTATAGTTGTGAATGGAATCACTTTGGGTGGACACTGTAAATATTTTGCACTGTTTAATCCAGTAGGTGGCGGTGATGACAACCACTATGAAACGACAAAGAAAGAAGCGCTTTGCAGGTTCGAAAACGCGAGGCGCACAGAAATGGCTTTTGGGTTGAATTTAGAAAAGTAATTAACAAGAACAAGTAAAAAGAATATTAACAACTTTCATATTAGCAGAAACCTGATCACAACTCACAGGTCTGTGTCCTTTGTTGCTAAAAACATCTGCCCAACGCAGAGCGCCTGCTCTGGCACTGTTTTGATTGTGTGAGGTGCACAAACGCGCAGAAGACAGGGATACTGAGATCCGTGTGGGCACAGGAGACTCTCAGGAAGGAGAGACACCGCTGGTCCAGGAGCTTCGTCATAATGATGGTCGGTTTCATTATTTTAGGATGAGTCAGGGACAGTTTGTTGCAGTCTCCGGACAATTCAAGCAGCTGTAAACTTCCGTAAGCACAACTGCCCATATCTCCATTCATTAGATGGTGAATAAAAAAACGCGAATGACATAGGGCACGAGTTGAATTTTTTTTAACTCCGTTCGCAGCAGCAGCAGGCAGCCAAAATGGGAGGCGCACAGGGCGCATTAACAGCGACAAGTGACAGTGAGAAAGCAGGAATATGATGAATGCAAAATATTTCTCATCTTTCTCTCTTCCTCCAGCCTCTCTGACTGTGAGTCCCAGCAGCTCTCAGTTTTTCATGTGGAAGTCTGTCTCTCTGAGCTGTGAGGAGGACGACAGCTCTGCTGGATGGACGCTGAGGAGGAACACGACCAGAGAAACCAGGACTCACTGTGAAGCTGACTGGGGAAGATCAGCTGGTTCTTCCTGTAACATCAGCTACGTTACTACATTGGACAGTGGAGTTTACTGGTGTGAGTCCAGAGAGGGAGCAACCAGTAACACCATCAACATCACTGTCACTGGTAAGATCAGTCTGCATTAATTGGACTAATGAGCCAGCCTTTGTTATCCACCTTTTCACTTTGGCTATTACTAAAATTGAAGTCAAAGCTTTAACTTTCAAGAGAAAAAAAGAACAACTATACCTCAAGAAGCTAACCAACACTGGGACACTGGGATTAGCATCAAGAGTAGCCAAGGGATGAGCCTAAAGAGGCCTTAAAATCCTATACATTCACATTACCTTATTTAGCTGGCACTTTGATCCAAAGCAATTTACAATTGCTATGAGTCTGAGGTTTGTCCACCTCTGGAGCTACTAGGGATTAAGTATCTTGCTAAGGGACATTTTGGTGCATGTGTTTCAGTACATGTTTGCTTAATGAGTTCATATGAAAAGAAATTACCCAAATATTCATAAAATGTTTAGTTTTGATGTGTTTACTGAGTCAAGAACAGGTCAGAGTGACTGGAGGCTCAGAAAAGATGGAGAACTAAAGCTGAAACTAACACATTGATTAGTTTGACAGCAGGAAAGCAGACAGCGACAGTTTCAGTCCACACCTCCTCCTCCTTCACCACAACCTCCTCCTTATGTGTGAAGATTTTAGTATTGCTCATTTCACTAAGTTCAAATGTTCGTGTAATGTACATGTTTATTAGTTCTGCAGTAGAATCCTTGTTGCTGCTCAGATTATTTATTTCCCTAAAGTAATAATTATTTAGCAAAGCTGTAGCAAAGGCAAAGACAACACCAACATTAACAGTGGTCTGCAGTTGCTTGTTTCCGGCTGCACAAAGCTGAAACCACACTTTTGCCTGATCTACGCAGGTAGAATGTGTCCGACTTGACGGGGCTGTTTTTATACCCCGCCCCTGCAGTCACCTGCAGCTCACGTTAGACCATCAAGTCGGCGAAAGTTAGCCGCCGTCATCAAAATCCAAAACTGAGGTATATCCAAAAGTAATAAGGATAAAAACAGAGAACAGGCAAAACGTAAACGCAACACGCAAATGTAGGCGCAGTGGCATTTATGTCCGAGTTCCGTGCTCGGCACTACATTTGTACCATGCCGGAACTTTAAACTAATAAACTAAAGCCAGAAGCGCATTTAAGCACCACAGTCCAGACTAGAACTGTGCAAAATGATTAAATCATATATCCCGAAATAGAATTTTATTTGTAAATTCAATGGAGTGAACAATGACACAGCAAGTAATGTAACTAATTATATATATTGTCATAACACACAGACACAGACCAGACTGTGGAGTTAGTGTTGATGAAGCTGTGTGTAAATGATGAAATGCTGTAGTTTGTCTCTGTGTTGAGGTGGACCAGTGATCCTGCAGAGTCCTGTCCTCCCTGTGATGGAGGGACATGATGTCACTCTGCACTGTAAAACAAAGACCCCTCCCTCCAACCTCCCAGCTGGTTTCTATAAAGATGGCTCCCTCATCAGGACTGAGCCTACAGGTCACATGACCATCCACCATGTTAACAAGTCTGATGAAGGCCTCTACAAGTGTAACATCAGCGGTCATGGAGAGTCTCCATCCAGCTGGATCTCTGTCACAGGTGAGGAGGTTACCTTTGATTTCAGGACTTAATTCATCCAGAGATTCATCTGACCAGGTGGGATTCTCTCTACAGGTAAACCTACAACCACAACCCCGCCTCCTCCAACACCCCCTGTCTCAGCCCCCCTCCAGCTTGTGTTCAGACTGATCTACCACCTGGTGGTGTTCTGTCCGTACTTCATCTCCACTGTCCTCATGGTGTCTTTATATCGACGCAGGGCCACAGGTAACACAGGTGACTCATTTACAGACCTTACAATCAATTACTGGTGATGATTGATTGACAATTGTCTCTTACAGAGAAATTCTCTATATTTTCTTTCTAACCTGCTCTGACTGCAGGAAATGACCTGCCTGTCTCCATGGTGATGACCCTGCCCTCCCGGGCTAAGGAGGGATATGACTGTGATGATAACTCTGTCACCACAGAGCATCACTTCTGAGCTTAACATACCCGGGATATCTTTTCATTATCTCGCTTCACTAACCCTAACAATTACAATCTGCATAAGCGGCCCCACAAAGTAAGCTGACCTCAGCTGAAAATGTTCACACATGCGTTTGTTGTTCTCCTTTTTGGGCCGTGAGTTGTTCATGTGTGTTTTCTTGATAAAACGTGGTTTGGAGACCAGCGTCGGGTGACAGCTCGTGTAGTGTGTATCGACTTCAAGACGTGGCCATTGGCCGATGCTGAAAGTCATGTAGTCTGCACGAGCGTTTGGTATAACTTGTACTTGATTCTTTTTGTTTGTAAAGCATCTGTCTGGTTGTTGGTCTGATGTTTGCTGTATGTAGGGCTGCAAATATTGATTATTTTTCAAATCAATTAATCTAGCGAATATTTTTTCGATTAGTCGATTAATCTAATGACTAATTTTTTTATGATGATTCTAAAAATAATTTTGTCATCACTATTTAATGTAAAAAAAATCAAATTGTCCATCAAATTATTCTCTTGAAAATAAACAAATCTAACATGAAACAAATTATGCACTGGAAGGGATAATTCAGCAACATAAAATAGGTCAGTTTTAACCGGTAATCTGTCCAACATCTCTGCAAAATACATTAAAGCTTAAAGCTTGTTCAGTTCAAGTAAAGTCAATTTAGTGCAAGGCGATTCAGCCATCCAACAACAAAATTAATTTAACATTGTAAATTTCAAGTCACGTTCAGGAGGAATACAATGAAAAATCATGCACCTTGAGTTTAGCAGTCCAACATAATATCATCTTACAGTAAAATTAATGTAATACATGAATACCTCATTCTTCACCACCATTTCATTGTCTTCTTTGCCATTGTTTTCCTCATTGCTGAGCTCATCGGAGTCTGAGCCCAGCTTGGCACTGGCTGAGGCATCGTGAACCACACTTGCCTGCTGAAGCTGTTAAAGTCGGCATGCAGGTGTTTCTGCGTTTATTGTGTTATTTCTGTATGAAAGTGTTTGTATTTCGGGTTATGCTCGCTCATGAGTTCAAGCGAGCACGCGTACGAGCACACACTTGGTTTCAATCTTAGAACCACACCGCTGGTGGCCGCTGAAAACTACATAATGCCCCTTTAAACTGTGAGCAGCTGTGTGAGAGCAGTTGTCAGGATTAATTCAGGTTTAGTGAAGCCTGATCACTCAGAGAAAGACTGACTCAGGTGAACTTGATTCATGATACAGACTCCTTGACAAATGGACAAAGATGTTTTTGGTCCAAATGAAAGCTGATAGTTGTTCAAGTTCTGGTTTGAGATGTGTTATTATTTGTGTTAGTTTTTTTCACATGTTTTAGAACATGGCAATGTCTTTACTTTTTTATTTACTAACTGTAAAGTTTTTAATAAACCTCACACAATTGACCAAATCTCAGTCTCCGTGTCAAGTTCCATCAAAGTTATATTTATACAAATGACATGTTTTTTCCATTTGAGAAAGGCGACAATGACCTTAAGAGGATCTTTAGCGTTAGTAGGTAGATGCTGATGTGTCACTATGTAGATGAACTAAAAATATTTTTTAAAAGTATACAAAAATTACAATTTTACAATAATACAATGCTGACAAGTGTGTGCAAAAGTTCACAACATGAGCATAAAGCACAGTTGAGCGTTGTTGTACAGTGTGGTCAGGTGTGTGTGTGTGTGTGTGTGTGTGTGTGTGTGTGTGTTTGGGGAGGGGCATGAGAGTCAGTTAGTGAGGACCCGGGATTTGTTGAGGAAGACCATTGCTACTGGAAAGAAACTGTTCTTATGGCGAGAAGTTTTGATCCAGATGGACCGCAGCCTCCCGGCAGAGGGGAGAGTCTGAAACAGTGTCTGTTCCGGGATGGGAGGGATCAGCCACAATCTTTCCAGCACGCCTCGGAGTCCTGGAGGCGTGCAGTTCCTGAAGAGATGAAAGATGACAACCAGTCACCTTCTCTGCAGAGCGAATAATACGCTGCAGGCTGCTCTTGTCCCTAGTGGTGGCAGCAGCGTACCAGATGGTGATGGAGGAGGTGAGGATGGACTCCACCATCATTGTCTTTGGCAGGCTGAACTTCTTCAGCTGCCGCAGGAAGTACATCCTCTGCTGGGCCTTCTTGGTGAGGGAGGTGATGTTCAGCTCCCACTTGAGGTCCTGGGAGATGATGGTGCCCAGGGAGCGGCAGGAGTCCACAGTGGTGACTGAGGAGTCACTCAGGATGATGGGGGAGGGTGGGGCTGGACTCTTTCTAATGTCTGCGATTAAAGTTAGCAACAATAAATATGCAACGTACATAAAAATAATTAATCATTTTGAAACGGTGCGTTATTAAAATCTTGTTGCATTAAAAAATGTTGCAGTTTGGTTAGGTTTAATCACAAAAACTACTTGGTTAAGGTTAGGAAAAGATCATGGTTAGGGTTAAAATAACTAGGTACATCAGTTAACTCATGTCACTTATGTCAACGCGTAACTTTCACAGGGGATATGAACCCAGGTGTTTTGGTTCCTTTGTTAAAGTCACCAAGAACAATAACTAAGGAGTCTGCTCCACCCACAGTATCTGTTTGGCCAGCGTACGCTGTGCGTCGTGCACATTGGCCTGCGGAGGAATGTAAACACCGAGCAGAAAGTAGCTGGCAAACTCACAGGGAGAGTAGAATGTTTTACAGTGTATCAGTAAAAAGTCCATGTCATGAGAACAGTGTTGCTGAATCACTGTACTGTCGGTACACCGGCCATTGTTGATGTAAAAACAGACACCACCACCTTTTGTTCCACTCTGTAGACCTGGAAGCCCGAAGTCTGGTATTGATCCATACAGCCACATCTCTTTGAAACACAGAACAGAAGATGAATAAAAGTCTCTGTTTTTCCCCACCAGTAGCTGAAGTTCGTCCAGCACAGTGAGCGCATGTTAGAGAGAAATATTCCCGGTAGCGGTCTGCGGTGTCCTTTTTGGCGTAGTCGCACCAGCGTACTGGACCTCCTCCAGCGTCTCACCGTATGAACAGTGGAGAGTGAACCTTTGACCTAAATGTTAAGAATGACATGAGAAAAGTTGTAAATTGAATCCGCTGGTGTTGTTCCCCTGATGTTTAATAGCTCTTCTCTGGTGTAAGCACTCCGGGTATCACAGCAGAATGCAAAGTTAGCAAACATAAACAAAACAGAGTGCACCAAAATATCATGGCTGCCCTGAGCGGTGCCATCTTGACCTTAACCTTGATCTCATCTGAACGTCACTCTGAGGGCTCACAGCTTCATTCTCCAGAGAAAAAAAGTGATCCCACTTTAAAGGCGATGCCCTACACATCAATAGCTGTACCAAACAGGAAACCAACTTTGTCTCTAAGAAATTACATGGCATTTTATGAAATGTGGTTCAGACATTAATGTTCCCCTCAGGATGAACTGCAATAAATTTGGAGGTTCTGACTTTTCTTCTAATACCATCATCACATTCTAAAGTGTCCTTTGGCTGCTTTATGACCAAATACCTGCAGAATTAATGACATTCCCATCAGCCCCTTAAAAGACACCATGAGAACAGCAGAGATGAAGTACAGGGAGAACACCACGATGTGGAGGATCATTCTCAATACAAATAGGGTTGGATCTGCAGGGGATGGAGACGGCCATGGGAAGCTAGTAAACAATAATAATTTTTCACCATAAAAAACAATGCCCCGAATTGTCCCTGGTGGCTGTTCCACCAGTGTATGAATATGTGTGCATGTTAGTTTCATTTTGAGCACTTAATGTATGTATGTGTGTGAGTGGTGGTAGTTTAAAAGCGCTTTGAGTGGTAGCAAACACTAGAAAGGCGCTATACAAATACGGAGCATTAAAGTACTGTATGCAGACTGGAAAAAGTAAAAAACAGGCCAAATTTGCACTTTCAAATTAAAATGGCTTATAGCTCCAGCAGCCTTTTTGTGTATCTTGGGATGATAAAAAGCTGGACCCAGTTTCATCTAGCTGAAACAGGGTGCGGTACAGGCTGCTTCATTGAAAGGTCACTTCTGGTAGGTGGCATGAGGATTAGTAAACATTGGCCTATAGATGTGGGCATGACCTTTATCAAATATGTGCAATTTGGTACAGATTTGAGCATGTAAAAAGAAGTTACAACAACTTCCTGTTTCATGGCGAACGCAGAAGTCCCTTAAACCTGCATTCTATTGACCGGTCAGCAGGGGGCGACTCTTCTGGTTGCAAAAAGAAATCCGCCTCCATTAGAAATAATAGTAAAATGACCCTACTTCTCAGCTGATATATTACCTCAGTAAACACATTCCTAATGAGTTTATGGTCTCCACCAAGTCTTCTTCAAAACAGCATGATGTTCATTTAGTAAATTATGGTCCCATTTAGATTTAGAGGAAAATAGACCATAAAGTATGCTTCAGGGCAGGATTATCTATGACTGACAAGTCACTACCATAGCGACCTGTCAATCCGGCTAGAACCTGCATGACTATGGTTCTGACACAATTTTGAGTGTGGCCAACCAGGAAAA